AAAAAAAACGAGACGATTTTGGGTAGACCCATATACCGATTTACGGCTTACGAGGGGCACATTTGTAACGTCGTTTTCGTATTTAAGGGAGAATCCTGACTAATTTTTCAACTACTTTCGAAGGAGTGTTGCTTCATCTGATGAATTAACAGCAAAAGTTTCTGATAGGATAAGATCGCAAAAGATACCAGATTAAGAGTCTCCATAATCCCACTAGAAATGTTTTCTCCTTGTCATCCAGCTCCAAAAATCCATCGGAAAACATTTCACAGATTATAATCCATGCAGACCTGTTTTTGACTCTTTCATGGTATAGGTATATTTCTGAGGAAATATCCCATATCTCTGGGAACCAACCCCTTTACTGCATCAATGAATAATTCTATATCCAAATCTTCAGAAGTTCTAGTAGCAGCCATCCTTTTTTGCGTCAATTTGCCGCAAGTGTGTACCAGCCGATATACAAACGAGTACTACAAAACCGCAATAGCGGCAGCGGTGCCGCCACGGTTTCGTAGGGACCTGCGGTTCAAAACGGTCGCCATCTGGACGCGCGGCCCCGCGGCGGCGCGCAGATGAATGTGCATTAACCCATTTACCTGTTAGTACGTTAAGCCGCAATTGCGGTGCCGCAGCGGCGATTGCCGCAAGTGTGCACCGGCGCTAAATGTTCAGGTAGCACTTCAGTGCGAATAATGAACCCGCACGCAGATATTAAATGTGCACTTGACAGAGCGTTTCTAAACTTTCTAATTTATTACTATAAATATACAAAATAGATATACATAGCTGAAAATNCCGCGAATTTGCCTTCAATGAACCTTCACATTTAAATTGCAATTTAATACTAATGGAATTTGGAGCCGATTTAATAGTTTCGGCTACTTTACTTTAAAAGCAAACCTATAAGCATCCTTATACTATTATGAACACGTTACCCCGCTAATTAACCCCAAAATTTCGATCAAACATCACATATTCTAAATATTTTCTATGCCTACTTGGTATGGTAATGAGCCCGGTGAAGCTTCATTCCCTCCCACGATCTTTAAACCTTCGGACGATGCAAGCCTTTGGAGTCCTGTGGATGCTGTTTTACGAGAAGTTTTAGACCAATCCCTAGTCACGTGAGCCTGTAAAAAACAAAAAATAAATTCAATTATGATCTAGATTTCAAAATTAATTTTACTGCTTTACCGTAACTAAGGAAAGTGTAATGAGAGTTAAGACAATTTCCTTCATTTCTGCCAGTCACATAGATACTGTATAGGTCTTGATAGAATCTCGTTTTATAAAGGTATTTTTGAAGTACTTCTGTTGATAAAATTCTCGTTACGTTTTTTGTTCACAATGCAAGAATATGATAAACGATACATATATTTTCGATAAATTTGTTATAGTAATTAATATAGGTTTAAACAAATTTCCAAGATTTATTATGAAATGTTCAATGAAGGGAAATCTCGTTGTTTTTATTTCCTTAACAATATTTTATTACGATTAGCGTAGTTTTGCTTGATATTGGTGTATTGATGCCGATTTGGAATAATAGTCTTTTTTATGTTGTATACATTTAATAACGTACTCTATACTTTATACAAACTGACAACATAATCGAAATGGTTAACTATATTATTGCTGTTACTTGATAATTGAAAATAATATGGAAATTGATGTAGATTGATAAAAGTTCGACAGATAAAAATAACTCGAAGATGATTTGAACGATATTGATGCTGATGTTATATTGGTTATAACTTCTTATCCTAGTTAAAATTCATATCCATAAGTGGTACATTTTAAAATTATTTTCATAATATACAGGGCGTCCAAAAAGCACAAAACGTATCAAAGTTGTATTTTTTTGAATGGAACACCCTATATATTTTTACATTTTTGCACTCTATAATTAAAATAAGAGCGAACTTCACTTCACCTAAACCTAAAGAATTTTGGAATATTTTGTGAAAGTGTAGTAACAATATTAAATTTTAAATTCTGCCGCTTAAAAAAAATTGAACCCTGCCTATTGATTTAGTTTTGTATCGCAATTGTGAAAAGCTGACTAACGTATACAAGGTATCCAAAAATTATGATCAAATAAATACGAGTTTTAATCGACAGTAATTTCTTTAGTCTATATAGAACACCCAGTATTTTATATCAACAAACAGCAGTTGTACTATAGAATTTATTTCTCTACCTCTATATGCCTTTTTATAGCTAACATCTTCGGAACGCAAAGCGATTTTAATAATTTAATGATCATGATTATACGGGTGGACCCTTTTACAAAAATAAAGTTAAACAGTATTTATACTAAACTGTAAACAGCAGTAAAGAATACAAAAACAAAGTATTTAATTCTCTACAAATGTAAGTTTATATAAAAGAAGGGTAAATTTTACCATGTACTGAACAAAAATTACAATAATTAACACATCCCTCCCCAAATAAAAATCAATTCGCTATAAGAATACACTTAGATTACCCTTTAATTGAACTCTGTGTCAATAGGAAGAGCCGAACGCCATGGTCGTAGCTTATGCTGGGACAGTAATAAAACTTTGCAGATAATCTTTGACCCATTTCCACGATTTCTAAAGGGAGGTTGAAGATGGCCCGCCATTAGCAGAAGTACAAGTAGAAGGCATTAGAAAAGCGAATTAGTGGGTGATATAATCGTGTGCGATTTTACTGAGCTAAAGCGGATAATGTTTTTCGACTTTGGTTTTAAATAAACCTTCCTCGCTTTTTCGAGCACCCTTTCTTAGGGATCACCCTCTCTCGCTAACCATGGACGTACCACAAAAAAACGGTAATCGTTTCAATTTACTATAAAATTTATCTATTCTTACGACAATCCATAACCACTCCACAATTCAAGGTCTAACTCAATAAGCAGGTGGCACCGCTTATTAGGTAAACGATATCAATTCGAAATCTTATAATTTCAGAATTAATCAACAAATTAAAAAACTAGAACTGCGTCTCAGTAATTGCCGCACAATATCCAATCCCAAACAAAATACAACTCGCATGATTCAGACANCACCCTTACCAAAGCCCTAGCCGCCTTTATCTTCTCATGCCTTTCTTCCAAAACAACTCCATTTCCCATCAAACAAAAATTCGTGCGTTCAACGCAATTATCAGAAGCATTTGCTCCTACGCCACCCGCATCTGGGGCTGTACCGATTCCGACCGTCTACAAATTCTTCATGCGGATTCTTCGTTCCGCACTCAACTACCCCTGCTTCATCAGAAACACCCAAATTCTGAAAGAAACTGGTCTACAATCACTCCCCAATGCTGCAGTTAGGTTTGCGACTAATCTTTGGGCTTCAGTATCAAGTCACCTAAACCCGTCCATTTCGGCACTCTCCGACTTCGACCCTAAACCAAACGACTGTTTAAAAAGGCCCTGCCAGCTTCTCCTCTGAGCTGCTTTCCTTCCGCTCATTTCTAGTTTCGCTTTTTTAGCGCAAGTGTCCGCCCAACTCGTCCGAAGTGGTCCACCGATTCCCATTTCATTCCCTTTTCCGCCCAATGCCTCCGTTCCTACACTTATTTCCCTTTACGATCCCAACCTCTTCTCATTGAACCTTCCCTGGAATGCATAACCTCCTGGTTGATCTCCCTTCTCGGGGAGGGGTTTTAGTCGGTAGGCGCTTAGGCGAATCCACACTATCTCAATTCAGAGGGTCTTTTGGGGATTTCTCCTTCTTGATGAACAACTAAACAAAAAAAAAGCAGAGATCATCTCTGACATTCTACCGACCAACGGCAAGGGAGAGAGAGAGATCGTACCTAACCATCAATGTTTTCTTTCGTTTTTTTACTATTTGACTAACTCCGACATTCCATCCACCAGCAGGAAGGAACAGGGAGCTCTGGTTTCATAGTCCAATCAAGTTTCTTATATGTATATATAATATATTTGTGATCGTCGTATTTGTTTTCTTCTTTTGTTGTATATATGTCGTTATTAGATAACAATATACAAAATAGATATACATAGCTGAAAATTTACTGGACTGCATATCTTTGGTATAATATTTGGAACTGAAGGGCTAAGTTAATTGAGTCAGACAGTATATTAGATAATATTTTTCATAATTTGTAAACCCGTAGGGCAACGTTTTATATGAATTTAGGTAAATTTGTATAAGAAGAAGGTGGATTAAAGTTCATCACTATTAACTGACTTATTTTCAAATGGATAAAAATATTCATTTATTCAAGACTTTTTTTTGTCGTCTTTGCTGATGATTAGCCTGTTATTTATTAGTGTACTTGTCGTGGACTTGATAGTTAAAATGTCAGCTTCATTTTGTGTAACTAACGGTAACTTACATTTTATATGTTACTAATGAGTCACAAGGTCACACAATAATAATTTTGTAACGCACAAATTTTTATCTGTAGACACATTTTAGAGGCTTATCAAAAAACTACGAAAAGCTTAAACACTGTCTCAGCAAATGACACGTGTGGTATTGAAGACTCCATAGATTTATAAGTCAAAAATTCACAAGAGGATACCAATAAAAACGTATTTTGTTAAGAAAGTATTGTAATCTCTACTGACAAAAAAAAAAAAAAACACATTCTATGTATACTTGAATGTTTTGAAAGTTTGAGGTTGTTACAGACGGAGACTAATAGACATACATGCCTCTACCTTCATCGAACAGGACCGCTTGTCTGTTTCTTTTTTTTTTCACGCATACGACATTGTTACTTCGACGAATCCAATATTGACTTCAGTAAGACAGAGACCTCCGTTGTCCGTCGAGTCTTGAAGCTATCTCCACGACTTGATAAAGGCTTCGCTATCCGGTGGGTTCACCGAATGTCGAAATGTGGAATAATCTGGCCGCTAGTATCCGCCCGTATCAACAAATCTCTTCCCTTAAGTCCAAGTCAATCTTCGAATTTGGCAAGCTATGTGATCTCAACGTCAAAGTTGAGCCGAAAGGAACCACCAAAGAAGTCGCCCAATGTCGCCGTTGTATGAAATTCTTTTATACGGTCAATTACTGCCACGCTGTCTGGGCCTGCTCCTTCTGCGACCTCAACCATGCCACCGACACCATTGCATGACAAAAGGCACGTAACTCCCTCCTGTGCTAACGGCAAAAGAAACCACCGCCCCACCTATCGTTGCTGTCCCAAGGTACCTAAAAAACCGTATCAACCAAAAATCCTCCCCTATTCCGGCCGCTCCAAAAAGTGTCCAGGTCACCCCCGTAACGACGTTCTCCCAAAGTCTTACGCCAATGCAGATAATCTGTGTCCCCAAAAAAGGGAAACTCCTCAGCTCTCCCTCGAGCTACAGGCCCATTAGCCTCATCAGTTCGCTGAGCAAAGTAGTTGAATCCATCCTTTTGGACCAGCTTCTCGACCACATGGAACGAAATCACCTCCTCCTCAAATTTCAATACGGCGGACAGCACGGCTCCAGTCATCAACTTCTCCGTGTTTCCAAACACATTTCTGAGAACCTAAACAAGCGCCGTCGCACTTTAATATTTCTGCTCGACATTCAGCAAGTCTTCGATCGAGTTTGACACGAAAGTTTCATTACCAAATTTATCGCCCTCTACATCCTACATTTGCTACAGAATCCCCCTTGTCCGCGTTGGCTCTGCTTTATCCCGAAGCAAACCCGTCACGACTGGGATCCCCCAAAGCTCCAAGCTGTCACCTCTTCTGTTCAACCTTTTCTCTCGATCGTTACAGCGCTCTACGCCGATGACATCGCCCCCATAATCTCCGTCCAAACCATTCTCCAGTGCTCCACAAAGATTAACAAGTTTCTGCCCCTGCTACTAAATTGGTACCGAAGATGGAAACTCTCCATTAACGAGGACAAGTCGAAAGCAATTTTCTTCTCCCGTAGGACCCAAAAGCCTCCTCCAATCACCGTTAACAACCACCCCAACAAATGGAGCAACCCCGTTACTAACCTAGGCGTCGCCTTCGACAGAACACTAACATGGCGAAAGCACATCCTTGCCACCCTTACCAAAGCCCTAGCCGCCTTTATCTTCTCATGCCTTTCTTCCAAAACAACTCCATTTCCCATCAAACAAAAATTCGTGCGTTCAACGCAATTATCAGAAGCATTTGCTCCTACGCCACCCGCATCTGGGGCTGTACCGATTCCGACCGTCTACAAATTCTTCATGCGGATTCTTCGTTCCGCACTCAACTACCCCTGCTTCATCAGAAACACCCAAATTCTGAAAGAAACTGGTCTACAATCACTCCCCAATGCTGCAGTTAGGTTTGCGACTAATC